CGTGCAAACTGAGCGCGGCACCACAGCGGGAGCGTCCCTCCCAGCCAAATCCGACACTCGCGGACTGCGGACGCTTGCGAACGCTGCGCACGCATTCCGCGTCAGCTCCTAACCCCCAGACCCCCAACCTTCAAACGAGAACCCTTCTGCTACGCTTTCGGGAAAAAGCAAAACGAAAAGGCAAAAAAAATTCCAGCCCGTTGGTCACTGATGATGGGGACTTGTGTGTGCAGAGTCTGCAGGCAGCATGGCCATGGCTCGGACAGGCATTCACACTACGAGGCAGCACATCGATGTGTGATAGATAGCGACCGAGACGCAGAGTTGCTTTCAGCTTCAGGTTCCTTCGGTACCTGAAGAGCTGCTTTGTTTGCAAGAGCCTGGCATGCCTGGCCTTGCCTAGGCTGGAGGCCTTGGGCTGACCAAATGAAGGCCACCCGAGTTGACATTCCAACCGGCAGTGGAAGGGGCTCAGTATGATCTCGTTGGGACAAGTTCTGTCGGTTTTTGTAGATGCCAACACGGCTTCCGATCCTGCATTTTCCGATCCTGTCTTTTTCAGGAGATGACGCCAAAGGTCGAGTGTCAGCAGGTGGAGATTTGTGCCTTGCAGCCTAAGAGTTTCGTGGCTCTGCATCGTGTGCTGTTTCTTCGCTCGTGACTCGTGATCGCCAGCTCGTGCTTTGTCTCAGATGTAGCAATACGGAGCCCCCACAGCTGATAGGCTACACAGCACTTGCAGTAAGCTTCACTTCACTTACCCAGCTGTCACAGCGTACAGATATTTGCTTTGCACCTTGGCAAGGGGCTGTGCCCAGTCCCCCGCCTCCATGGATCTTCGGCTTGGGCTTCTCGTTCTTGGCTTCTTTCTTTGCCATGTGGCCTTCGAAGCCTTGAACGAGATGCTGGTTGCTTGGGAGCAAATTTTTCGATTGGTCAAGATTCTGTGGAAGAGTGGAAAACACCCAGGGGTCTTGACCGCCAGCATTCCGTGTTGCGGGCTTTGTTGCCACTTCGGGCATCTGTACTTTTCAGGTCACGCTGCCCAATGTTCCGCACAGCACCGAATTTGCATTCAGGTCAGATGTGCATGCTTGTCGACAGTGCATGGGCTTGCACAACTTGGGGACAAGACACAGATAGCCAGCTACTTGAAAGAACATCTTCTGATTGCAAGTTCATAGTTGTGGCCCATGACATGGCAGGTCTTGTCTCACTGTGACTGGACCAGTTTTGGAATTCTGGTTTTATTGCAAACCAACCAGAGTTGAGGTGTGACCCTTTGGAGTGTCGCTACGCAGTTTGGCCTTTGTACAGTGGCGCCGTTGACACGAGCACCGAGGGCCTTATTCACCAAAAGTTCCTGGTGGCCGCTACTTGGCTCGTCTCAACACTGGATGGAAACTTACATTGAGCCGACCCAGGACCACCAATGTGCGGCATATTTAGAGATGCAGGAAACCTTCGGGAATGCAAAGCTGTTTACAGTTTGAACCCGACTGGAATCGAAACTGTGGTGCCAGAGAACGGCATAGTTCGCAAGTAACATAAGAAGCCTGTCGAAGTGCTGCAACTTCCAGGTTCGTCACGGTGTCGTGCATGGTGTGACTCGGTCAAGCACGAAACCCCGCATCGGGCAAAGTTCGTTGCTGGTGCTGTAGGTCTGGCCAAAAACCCCAGTCAAAATCCAGCGAGGAAGATTTTGATGAGGCCATGCAATAGATGCAGCAGGACCTGTGTCATCATGTGGCTCATCGGTACAGAACCTTTCTGAAATACGTGGGCGTGTTGCGTGTTCAATAATTGAGGTTTTTGTCGAACGGTTTGTCGCAGTACTCTACGCATCACGTGGAGTTCACCGTGAAGATTGTGGCCAAAGCTAGCAAGCTGCAGGATTCTCAGCCAATTCTCAGCTTTGATCATGCTTCACCGTCGCTTGAACCACTTCGGCTTCTGAAGCAGTTGTACAGTTGTACTGGCTAGTCATCGGCTTTGGCAAGCAGCTTGTAGATCCCAAGGGCTGCGCAAGATCCTCCACCAATCACATAGCTAGGTAGGCTGATGACTTGATTGAAAGGTTGCCCACAATGCTGATCTCGGGCCTACTGGGCAACTCGAGCCACTTCCAGGCAGCTCCTTGCCCTTCAGCAAGGCCACTGGCCTTGCTGCTGACACTGCGGCCTTGCATGTGGAGGCCTTGGATTATGTAGCAGCTCTACTACTATGTGTGTCTTGGATGAATGATGTTTGTGCGATGGCTGACGAACCGACAAGGCAGTTGGGGTTCATTGCTTTTCGGACCAAGCGGCTCAAAATGAGGGGGGCCATCGGGGCCCATGATGTCGAGGCAGGGACGGCTCTTTTCTCGTATGGTGGCGGTCGTGCGCCGAACGCGGCGAGCTCCTGGCAGGTGGTGGTGGGCAGCATGGCTTCTGTTTGCTTTTCCCGTAAATCACGAAACAGTTGCAGCACGATGTGTCCATGGCATCCAGGTATGTTGGCACTCGCAGTGTCATGCATATTCGATGGTTTGGCTTGCCACTGAGAGATCGTCGCCGGCATTCTTGTCAGAATTTGTTCGCGGTGTCACTCTCTGTTACCCTCTGCAAAGTCTTAGGGGGAAGTGCCGAATCTGCATGTGGGGCTGGGGCTCGGGGGACGGGGGTGCCATGGCTTTCTGATCTTTCAGTGCGGAAGACTTGCTGTCGTGGAGCTGACAATACTGGGCACGGACAATGCACTGCAGAGAGCTGCAGAAAACCCGCACCATGATCTGCAGATAACCAGGCGCACAGCAACATGACACCCGGTACTGGACCAGTATACCTCGGCCCACAATGCTTCAGAGCAACATGTGCGCGGATGGCGTGGGCCGGAGTCAGGAAGGAGCCAGTTCAAAACTCGGATTGGGCTCCCGCCCAATCCGCAGATCTTCAACACTTGACGCGATTTTCCAGAGTCCACGTTCAAGTCCATGCACTTGTCGAGTTGCGGTTCTCGAGGTTCCAAACCTTCAGCAGAAGATCATGCACACTGGGATTACCTCGACAGAGCTCATGATCCGAACAAATGCGATCGGTTCACTGGCAGGCACTTCCTGTGTTGCACAATGCCTGGATCATTACGGTCGTTACGGTCCATGGCGTCCGGGCTGGGACTGAAGTGAAGAAGTGATCAAGAGACTTCACAATTTCTTCAGGTGTTGCTGGCATCGTGCTGAGTCGTGATATGATGTCCGTGGTTGCCTATGCAGGTGGGAAGCTTTCACGCTTGAGTGCCTGAGTTCGTTTTTGAGCCGACCCATTTTTACGTGGGGGTTTTGTTGTGTTCCCGTAAGGAGCGTTTCTGAGTAGATGCCGGCCGGCCGTAGCCTGTTGAATTGAAAGCCTGTATAACTTTTGCCCGAAGCTTTTGCCTCACCGCCTTTCACGTCCCTTCAAGCTCAAGCCCTTCATACCATCGAAGGACTTTGCATCTTGCCCCTGAAAGACGTTCGAGAGCCTTATTGACTCGGTGGTCGTTCCGTCCCTGTCCGTCCAACTTGGCGTGGAGCAGCATGTCTGTCAGGGGTTTAAGGCATCCTGCAGGATTCTAAAGGGTTGATGTGCTATCCCGCTGCAAAAGGCCAGCAGCCAGAGCTGTGCTGGCTCATCCCTTCGATCGGGTTGTCCTTGGCAGGCCGGTTTTCGCAACTCAAGCGTGCTTTTCAGTGTGTGGCCGGGGGGGCGGCCGTCAGAATCCGAGCTGCAGGCAGTGTTCTATGCTACACCGACCTGGTGGCCCATGCTGGCTCTGTGGCGGCGGTGGGAGTGGCCACGCTTCGCAAAAGTGCCTCGTTGCTTCTTTCGTTACCTGGCTAACTATGCCTCCAAAGACTTACCGATTGTACGTACTTACAGTCACTCTCGTGCGAGCTGAGGTATTTCTTGTTTCCAGGAAAGCCATTCAGTACTCTAAGTGGGCTTGGGCTCCTGGTCCTTACTCTCGGCCTTCTTCTGGCAGAACGCCGTGCAACATCGCGTAGCAGAGCACAAGGCTGCTGCTATTTCGGGCAAGTCTATTACTATGTGTTACTTGAGGTCAGTTTTCTGTTGGTGCAGTCCTGTGCAGGGCAGGGGCCGGGGCATTTGCAACCTGTCAGGTGGCAATGGCAACGAAAGGAACGAGAAAGAAAACACTGCGCTGGCTGGCAGCTGGGGCCAGAGAAAGGCAGACTAAGACTTGCCATTACTTGCAAAAGCTACAGTTTCTCAAGATTTGAGGGGTTTCATGTGGGAGCAGCGATGTCCAATGCCCTTGACAAGAAGCTGGAGCTCGAACATCAGTGGACGATCCAAGTCCACCATGCATGCAACTCCGTGCAGCGACCGTCGAGGGAGTAATTGCTCCGGAATTGCCAGAATGTTCCCAGCAAAGCAAGTTGCTGGCTTTCGCTCGTCATGGTGTGTTTGGACTCCGATGCAGACCCGCGCGAAGACACGCTGCCGCCAAGAGGTTGAACGCTGCAGCCAGGGAGGAACAGCGTCTGCACGGCGAACGCAGGCACAAGGATGGAGAAGCATCGAAGATGCAAGGTGAACATTAATTAATGCCATTGTTCACCCATACAGAGAGTAATTCGTGCGGAAGGCTCCGGCTTCCATGCTCGGGGCAGATATGCCACGGACTTGATAGGTACTCGAGCTGAAACGTGCAGGACAGGACAGGAGCTTCCGCAGCTGAGAAACTTGAGGGAGGGCGTTTGATGCGCACTTTGCAGGCGCATGCAGTTGAAGCCTGGGCGGCTGCCTCAGAGAGCCAGCCTAGCTCAAGCCATGTTTGCTGTGTTGCTGTGCGGATCAGCGCGGGGTGTGTGGGGCCAGACGATCTCTTCCTTTGCTCGGGCACAGGTACATAAGGGGATTAAATATATTGTGGGGGAGTTGTTTAGGTTACTGCTTTCGAAGGTTCGGCGTGTTGTCGTTGCACATGGGCTTTGTCCTTGGGCTGACGGAGCACTGAGGCCTTCACCATGGGCCGTGCATGTACGATCACGTACGGTTGATGTCTAGACCTGTTCCGCATTGCTGAACTTGAGAGCAACCCAACCAAATGGCGGGGAATCTAGGCTGTAGCAGCATGTGCAGGCAAGGAAGCTTGGCTGTTGTATCGTTGTTTGAAGATGAGGAGGACGCGCCTGCAAAGTGCTGTGATAACGTCGCGTACTTGGGGTTTAGGGTTCCGTTCCACCAGATCCTCATCATTGCCCCGAGACTGGCAAAAGGTAATGTGTTCAAGGGTTTTCGTTCCATGCCATACGCAGACAGCATGCGATCAACCCGCACAGCAAAGCAGTGCAAGGCGCCGACAAGTCTTCGGTTTGCCTTCGCAGGCTTGCTCAACCAAGAAAAGCTTCCTAGCTGTGCAGAGCTTCTGTGGATTCAGCGAAGTGCGCTTAGCGGCCGGGTGTGCGTGGTCGTTGTTTCTCCACGCCCACTCTGGAAGCGGAGATTTACAAAGATAAACTAACATCCACGTGAGCTGCAGCCTCGTGGACTTGCAATGAATCGGGCGATTGAGGCCGCATTCCGCGTAGGAGCTCCCACAAGTCTTCAATGCTGTCACATGAAGCGCACTGCCAGGTAACAACCCCGCGAAACAGCATCATACATCATGATGTGAGTTTGCATGCAGATTCTCCAGGCTTTAAAAGCGATGTGTGCATCTTCAGGAGTCGCACACGTGCAATCGATAAGAAGTAGCAAACGTAAAGGCATTGACGGTCCAAATAGAAGACCGCAGTGCTGTCATCAATCACGTGCCTCCCAAATAAGGACATTGTGAATACAGTTGACTCAATCAGCGAATCCCAACCAGTAGAAGGACAATGGCAAGCTCGATGCTCTAGGAAATCTTGAAAAATACAGGCCCTGGAAAATTCTGAATTTGTTCGGATTTGGGACAGTATTGAATTTCAGATTTAATGAACTCTGGATCACAAATATTCTAAAAGGCTTTGGAAAATATGTTTGATTTAACTCAAAAGAGGCGCTAGTGGCACTAGCAAGGTCGAAGTAATATTTCTCGAGCATCGAAGACGTCAGGGTAGAATCGAATTGCGGGAGGTCAGCAAAGCGCATCCGGTGATGCAAAAGTGAGGGTCCGACTCAAGCTTTGGCTGGCCGAGACTAACCCAGATGCGAGGATGCAAAGCAGGCCGGATTCAGCGTCGTAAGATGCTGCAATGTGGAAAGTGTAGAAAGGAAGGGCAGACAAGCGGTCTCGGTGATGCAGACATTCAGTTCAACATTGATTTGCTAGTGAACCAGATGCAGTTCCTGGACGAGCTTTGAGTCCAAAACTGGAGAAGCCCGGATCAAGCAAGTCATCCTCCAGTATCATGGATGCAACAGGGCAACTGGTTCCATGCTATAGACGCGCTGTTGCCAGCATACAGTCGGTCAAGTTCGGTGGAGTGCTGGCAACTCGCTCTTGAACTGCATCTTTTTGCAGGAGCAGGTGGCAGCTGCCCTGGTGAGTCACGCGCAGCTACTTGCCGGCAGCCGAGATTTCTCGCGCAGGCACTGGGGCCACACTGTATCAACTGACAAGCCGTTCAGGCGTTGCAGCACCCGCCAGAGGGTGCCGGTGCCACGACTCTGATTGTGGCACCGAGGCAGGGGGCTCGTAAAGCCAGGAGCCGTGGAAGGCAAACATCCATTGTGGTGATCGTGTACAGGTGCGAAAAGCTTCTTGACTTCGAGGCCATACATTGCACGCAAGCAGCGGGTGGAAAGGTGGAAACGGCACAGGTTTGCATTCTCTTAGGCGTGTAAACCGTGCAAACGTGTTCAGTGATGTGTTTCGGTTGCTGACTGGACTGCAGCAGGACGGAAGAGAGCATGCCTTCCTCATGACTATCTGACGCATTGTTGCATGAATGCGGCGTGGTCCCACGGTGAGGGCTACTTGGAGCTCTGTGATTGGGTCGAAGAAGCTTTCTCAGAGCTGGACCTGATCGGTAAAGCTGGATTCTCGGACGGTGTGCCATTCAGACAAAGGCTTTGGATTGCTCTATGCTGTCACACGGGTCCATGTTAGTTGCAAGCGATAAATTTCGCTTTGCAGGGAAAAGTTCGAGCCAGGTGCAGATGGCTGCTTTTCATCCAGACTTCCGCTTCAATGGTTCTGCCACACACTAAGATCCGTGACCATCCGTAAGGCATTTTATATGCTTGAAGCTGCACGCCGCTTGATGCTGAGGATGCGGCGGACTGCGCAAATTTTGTCGGTCGTGCTCCATATCCTGCTTTTCATTTGCTGCGAGAGGAGGAGTGCATCGGACTGCGCGTCGTTGTCAAAAGCAAGCTTTCTTTTGATTTGTTTCGCCTCTGCTGAGTTTGCACTTGCTGCACAGACAGTCCCAGTAGTACTGTTTGCAATCCGAAGGTGGTGGCACAGAAGACCTAGGTAAGCATTGCTTGTGGTATAGCCATCGGCTTTCGCTTGCTGTACCGTTCTAGTTGCGGTGGAGAGATGCTCAAGGCCATTCTAGGCTTTTTCGAGACTTCAAGTACCGTCTGCAGATTTTTGACTTTGAAGAGTACAGCAAAACGGCGCAAGTAGTGGTACTCGATGGTACTCGTCTCGTTGAACGAGGCTCAGGTCCATCCGGGACGGCCTGCAAACCAGCCTGCAAACCAGGTGCATCCGTCCGTTTGTGTGCAGAAAAAGCCGCTTTGTGCTCATTCTTCTCGTTGCCACGTAACCGTGACTGGGCTCGCGGGCCTGCGTTTAAGCTTACGGCGGCCACTGTCATACTAACGTTTGTATCCGTTGTTCAGTTGACTCTCTTCCTTTCGCATCGTCGCCACCCATGACTTTGGTGAAAGCTCAGAGCGATCGGCAAAGGTGTCGCGAAGTGGGAACATTCCAGCTTGGGAGTCATTGCCACCACTGCTTGCAGCGCGTTGTGTAGTGAGATTGCACGATTTTTGAGAAGTTTGTCGCACAACGGTGGACCAATCGTATGTTGACGATGTCGAGTTGTCTTTGCAGGGGCTTGTGTCGTGTGCAGACGTTGCAAGAAACGTCTGCCACGACACTCCGCTCAACCGTCGCTCTGACCAATTCTGACCGTCATTGGGGCTTCAGCGCGGCTTTGTGCGGCTTTGGTGCGCTGCATAGGAGAGCTCATGATTGCCTTCAGCCGGCTTCCAACGCAGTGCGTGCTGTGGTCACGGTTGCTGGGTGCTGGTATGTGCTGGTCGCTGGCTTCTGTTTACGAGTCGGCAAGCTCACTCAGGCTGTCGCAGACGGGACGTCGCACGTAGACGTTTGCAGTTCCTTCGGAGACTGCTCGGTGCCTTTCTCTGCGTTCCTGCAGCTGCAGCTGGATGGTCATAAAACCTTTGAAACTGCCGTCCCTTGATTCTGTCGTGTACATCCTGGTGGGAAGGAGCGTTGCATTGGATACTCTTCTCACCAGGTTAGTAAAGCCACTTCTTCTAACCCGAACCAGTGACCACTTTCATGAGCATGCAACGAACAAAAAGTTGCATTTCTTCTATCGTTCTTCAACAAGAGTCTGTTTGTGACCTTGGTGCCCTCGCCGTTTTCGTTGGGCTTGATCTTCAGGCTGGGCTTGATCTTCAGGCTAGTGCGTGAAACCCGACTTCAACACTGTCTGGCATGGCTCGACTATAAAAAGGACGTATTGCCAGAAGCCCGTCTGCTGGGTCGAAGCCGAGACGTCCCCCTATCGGGGGCGAGCGTGGTAGGCCTGTCCTTGCAGGCCCTGAAGATTCAATATGATTCAATCGTGTGCTGCATGAGTCTCGCGGTGGCTCGTAGACAGCATCGTGGCCATGAGAGGCAACATCGTGAGTTGATAGCTTCAGATGTGTTAGTTGCTGCACTGGGGCAAGCTACGTTGGGGAATCCTGCTTGCGCACCTCCTTTTCCCACACCCTTTTCTCCTTGGCGGGAGAACTTGGCAGTGCGACGTCAAATGCTTGCATTTGCTGTCGCGCCTGTCCGAACTACACCCTGTCGTGAGGAAGCTCCCTGCCACCTTGCATCTCGCTCTGCCGTGTTGCAGTCCGCATATCCACAACTCGCACCCCTGAGTCTGAGCCCGAAACAATGGAAAATCGCGGTGTAATATGATACCTTCTTGGTTTAAGTCGTCATATATCATCCGACACGCACGTGGCCAGGCATGTACCTTTGTGACCATGCCGGACACCCTCAACCTGGGCTGTTGGGAGACGTGATGGAGACACCATCAGTCAAGCAAAAAGTCCGAAACAACCCCCGGCACGCGCATGGCGCATGAGCCACGGCAAGATGATGCGTCGATGTACTTAGTTGCAGCTAGCGGTGAGCCGGCTGATGCAGCACAAGATTATAGAATTGCAACAACAAGTCTCCAAGAGTACATAAGCGTCCATGCATGACGTCACATGCCCTGCCGACTGAAATGACGGTTGACTCCAACCGAAACTGCATTGATAAGTTACGTTGCTGATGTTCACATGACGGCTCGAGTTGGCCGTGGCCTGGTATCGCTACAACAGCGCGAGAATCAAATCCGAGTCTTCAACACAATCTTCCAACTTAGGCAAACTAACAGGTCGTTAGCTGAAAGCAAGTGGATGTGAGCTTACCGAGGGGAAAATGCTTCATTTCAACGGCAAGGTGCCTGTCACTGTTGCCGAACATGAATCCGAACCTTAAGCTCACATCGCCAACTGTAAGCACACGTAGTCTGAGGTACATCCCAATCTCAACACATGGTGGGCAAACATGCAACAAGAAAAAGAAGAAAAATATGTGCAAGAAAAAACCAACACGGAAGTGGCTCACCAAAAAAAGATATTTTCTGAAGATGCATTGCGCAGCGCAAGAAAGTGTTAGAAGCTGCAAGGTTTGTCTGGGAAGGGGACTCGGGGTGGAGGCTGTCATGGGGTCACCGGTGAATTTTATTCAGAAGTCGCCTCACCTTTCAATAGGAAGTGCTAACACATGAGCTTACTTCAGCTCGGCTCTTCAGCTCCACGGAATACAGACTGCGTGGTTCCTCTTCACAGTCCATTAGCACGACACAACACAAAGTATTAACCAGCAGACTGCCCGAAAAACAACAATGTACAAACAAACCCATTTAGCAAACCCAACTTCCAGAAAAAATGTCCAAAACTACACAAGCGCGTTCACCGCAAAAACATAATTATCGCGCAACTACTTAAGCCGTACATGTGCATACGAAAATTTGTTAAGAACATCAAATTCTTTTGACGATTTTTCCAAACATAAATATCCTCAAAATTTGAAAACGGAAACTACGCACGAACAACTTCCGAAATTTGGGCGATGAAACGAATCTACCACAAAAGACACCATTCGAATTCTGGGCACAAAAGTTAATGTCATGTTCATTGTCACCAAAAATCCCAGAATCCGAACTCACAACAAACATGGAACGAAAGGAAACATTAAGGCTCCTGTTGTTGCAACCCGGAGTTGCCTTTCTCAAAAAAATCAGAAACGTGTTATGCTTAGTTCGTGAATGGAGAGCGTGAGGGGGGCTCTCGCCCTGATCCTTTCAGGCGCCTTCGGCAACCTTCGGTGCGAAAAAGGCACTATGGTGCGAACGAAGGCACCAGGCTGATAAGCTTGGCACTGGACCCGTCTGAAACGTGGCGGTGGCCAAGATCCGAGGCCAAACCTGTTGGTAACCATCGCACCTAGTGTAGAGGCAGCCTGATCTGGAATTTTGTTTGTTTGTTTGTTTGTGAGGGGGCTTGGTCCAGCACTTGCACAAATGACTTACCGGTCATGCTCCTGGAACGCCAACTCGGGGGACAGCATGTTGGCCATGATCCAGGATCCGCCAGTACTTGCGGAAATCCATGTTGGCCCATCAATACTTGCGGGTTGCGTCGAGAATGCAGGAAGATGAAATCCCGTCCACAGAAGCTCTCGCAACACGACAGCTCCAAGAAACAGACCTGCGGAACCGAGAGCGATGTGCGAGAAGAATGATAGGACAACGCGGCCGTTTCTGACCGCAAACGGACGGATGCGCTTGGTTTGCAGCTGAGCATCGTTCAACGAGACCAGTACCACTGTCACTACTTGCGGGTTTTGCGGCAAGACCAGCAGAGTGACCACTCACACGTCGAACTCAACGTCTTCAAACGGTACTTCGACAGAGCATGACAGAACTTTGTTGAAATTCAGAGTCTTCAGACTGTACGTGAAGTCTCGAGCAGGCCTTGAGATGGCTATACCACCAGCAATGCTTACCCAGGTTTTCTGTGCCACCACCATCGGATTGCAAGCAGTACTACACACCCGAGCTCATCATCAGCCTAGCCCCAACATGCAACCCCCGTTCTCGGCTCGAGAACGGGGGTTTGCTGTTGGGGGGCGGAGGGGAGCGGTGTCTGGACCTTGTCAGGGGCTGGGAGGGTTCCTTGCAATCCAAACGGGGAAATCCCTTCGATTGATAAATACGCCTTCCTCAGCAGAATAACAAGCGAGTGCGTGAACCACGCCGTTTTTGGGGGGCGCAGGGTGCGAATGTCGCATCATCAAGCCTCCGGGGAATGTTGCCCAAATCCAGCAGAGTCGGACATGCCCTGGCAACCAGCATATCCGATACAAATATCACAAATGCTGGATCCAGCCGAACCCGAGGAACATCGTGGGTCTCATCATTGTGTCTGGTTTGGGTGATGAAAACTTAAACAGAGTGTGCAGCCATGGAGGTGCGCTAGTTACTAATTCATATTATTTCCAGGTTGAGTGACGGATGGATGTGCATTTGTGTCCGTAGACCGAGTCTGAAACTCCATGCCCCTTCATTGCAGGAGGTTTCTGCTGCCCTGGCAAGCTTTCATCTCGTTGACCGCGAACCTTTCCAGGACGGGTTGGAAACTTCCGCAAGGCGATGATGCATCCTTGCCCCAGGGCCCGGAGGAGGTCGGCGCTTTCATCGCCGAGCGCAATGCAAGGCTGGAAACGTGCGTTGTGGCACCACGAGCGCGCTTTCCAAAGATGTTCAGTATTGTGGAGCTTGGATGCTCAGTAGTCAGTAGTCGCCACGGAACCGGCTGCAGCTATCAGTTCTATCGCGGATCAGAACATGCTGGCTTGTCGGGAAATGCACAGTTGTGCTGGTACTGCGCAGAGGTTTCTCCGCAATCGGGGAAGAGAAGCCTGCTTGCGAAGTGTCAGGCGGTCTGCTGGTAGTTTTTGCAAGCTGTGATGTGGCACGTTGAGTGAAGTGCTGCGTGAAGCTTTGAAACATGTCGAACCCTGGAAGATACAGCACATTGCCAGAAGAGCTAGTGGCCGTCAGTAGGCACTTACTAGATGTCATGGACTCATGCTGGTCTCTGGTCAGGGCCTGCGACGTGTCAGACCTGCCAAGAGGACAAGGAAAAGATGCAGGGTGAGGGAAAGGTAGCACGTCCGGGGAGCCGTAAGGTGCTGCTGGGCATGCAGGCTTTGTGCTGATGAAACTCTAAATCCTAGTCCTTGTCAGCTCGAATCTTTGCCAAACTCTGTCTGTGGTCCGCCGCTCGTCTTTGGCTTGCTTCTGCCTGTGCCTGGTTCCGAAGCGGTTCTGAAAGTCTTGGTGCCTCAGCAGCATGAAGAGGTTCCCCAAGAATAACGAGAAGGACCGCAGTCCCTCGCGCACCCCCAGTGAGAGAGAGATAGTGAGAAAGACTGGCGCAGACCCCACTCAGGCACCTGGCGCTTCGTCGCAGCTGACCCGGCTCTCTTTGCAACATGGACATCGACCTGTTGAATCCGGATCTCAAGGAAGAGAAGGCTGGGGCCCGTGGTGTTTCGGCATGGTGCACACAAATCTTTAGACACCTACAGGTACTGCATTTCAAGGGCCTCCCGTCAGAAACTCTGTTTGCCGCTCCAGTCGAAGCACAAGCTGAAGCGCATGATCCAGTCTCCAAACAGCTCCTCGGCAGGATATAGCTTGGCTAGACCCAGTGGGGGCCGAACGCCGGATGTGGGGATGGGCTCGTGCGTGCATGTAACGCTTCCTAAACGACGCCACCGTCTGCGTCAGACAGGCTCACAATGCAGTTGCCCAGCACACTCAGCAGGATGCCGATGGCACTGGTGCAGTAGGCAGAGAGCCGGAGCCGCATGCCAATTTCATCCATCTTGTGGTTCATGTTGATCCGGAAACAGAGATGAGAGTGCCAGATCCTGGCTAGGAGATGTGGCGCTTGAATTCGGAACAAGAAAGAATCTGCACGTCTGGGCCTCTTTTCAGCGAGGTTTCTTCATGGATGTGAAGTGCCCGGGCTGCTTGCAGGCGCCAATTGGGTCGAGACTTGATGAGACCAGAGCAGCCGGTAGTCCCCTAAAAAGACCAGCTTCAGGGGTTGATTTGATCGTGGCAATCAGTGCCTCCATCATCCTCCGATGCGGTTTTTCCGATCCATAGCCCCCTTCCAGATCACCACCGTCTTCAGCCACGCCCAGACTGTTGTGCTCTGTGGCAACTGCAATGCCAGGGCCTGAGCGGTGCGGAGCGGTGCTGGAAGGGGTCGACAGTTGGAATCGCGCGCAACAAGCGTTTCTGCTGTGCTGTGAGGTAATGCTTTGTCAGCCGACGGGCGGCCTTGCGCGACTCACTGAGGGCTGCTCCTTCCGAAGGTCCGGGCATGCTTCTGATGCAAGTGGGGACTCCGGGTCTGCAGAGCCTGCGCATGGTAGGAGATGCCATGAGACCAAAGGATGCAGCTGTTCAAGTTTGCATGGATCCGCAATGGCAGGAAAACCGACTGAGGGTATGGCTGCGCATTGTGAAGTGGTAGAGCATGTTGCCAACAAAAGGTTGCTGCCCGCCGCCACCACGCATGTGCTATTCAGCTGCATGGACTCACTGACCTCACCGAGGTTGCTGTAAACACCAGTTTGATAAGCAGCCACTGCAACTCAAGCTGCCGTTGCTGATTTTCCTCGCGCTTGTGTGAAGCTGCTCGAAGTCCTTCCAAGTCTTGCACTCAGCTGGGTTTGAATCAAGTGCGACACCGACAGCTCACAGGGGCATAAGGCGTATGGGTTCCCGGGTTGCATACTGCTGTTCTGGTTCTTCACGCAGCAGCAGTTTCGTGAATGAAGGGTTGAGGCACCGTGCGTGCGGTCTCGTTGCGGTCCAACATTGTGAACATCTCGGTGATGACGTTGCTGAGCGCTGGTCACATCAGATCAACAATAGTTCTCTGCTTTCTCTTTTTGGCTTATCATCATTTGTGAGGGGTTCATCGTGGGCACGTGTGAGCCCTGCCGCAGCCGTTGGTTTTTCAAAGACGTCAAAGACGCCTTCAGATTTTGCCGGCGTGAGGCTCGGACAGCTGGATCAGCTAAGGCTTACTTCGATGCACTCCGATTTGCTTGCCTTGCTTGCGAGGCCATGCCTGCGATGTCAAAGCTGTCCTTCGTCGCCGCGAGCGCCGCGGCCGCCACTGCGGCGACGACCTTTGTCGGAGTTCCACAACCGGTGTCGAGGTCTGCATCAAACAGCGAATGTAAAGGTGGACACATGTAGACACCGTAATCTACCCGACAAAGTCCTGTTCGGGATGCAGGCCTGTCGCCCTACGTGGTACGCAGCAGCGGTCTGCGACAGGCCTCCAAAATTTAGCGAGCGCCTTTCAGCAATACCTGGCATATGTTTGCATTTCAATTGCTCTGACCCTGGAGAGCATGGGCATCTGAGTGTCGATAGTTCGCCACCTGTCTCTTTGCGAAGGCGCCGGGCTCGGGAGTGCATTGGGCCTGGGATTGGCTGGCCTGGGCTTGGCCAGCCTGTCGGTTGTGCCAACAGCGAGGCCCGGATTCTTACTAGGGCATGGCTGAGAAAGCATTATCATTGTTATCATGAGTCTGATACAGGGGAAGCCGAAAGGGTGGCAATGAGGGAATGGTAGAAGATTCGCTCAGAGATTTCGATCAGCTAATTCATGCTAATTCCGTGCCAGGGCCTCTGTCGTCCGCTGCGCCTACGATGCCTCGCAGGCCGGAATTAGGATAGGCGCTGTCTAGGCCTAGGCAGTAACTTCTGCATGAAGACTCTGCTCGCCATTGTCTCGGGCTGCTCCAGCCATTCGCCAGCATCAAGTATCATCAAGCCAAAGCGGGTGCAGCTCGGGGTTGTGCTCTTGCTGTGTCCGTCACTGTGTGTCTGACTTTCTGTCTGTTTGCATCTCTTGTGTTCGCTTGGATGGGTTTGTCCGTTTCTGTTGCTCTGTCTGTGTCTCTGTGTGGTTCTTGTCCGAGTGATTGGCTGATTCCTTCAAGCACTTATTGCTCAAAGCTCTGTGGCTACCGTAGAAAGGGGCATGACTTGTGCCTCTTGGCGTCACCCTTTTGTTTTGGGTGTCGCTGGTGTATTTCCTATTTCTTGTTAATGGCAAACTCAGAGGCCGAATTTGCAGCCACAAACCCGAAAGCCTGCAGTCTGGTCTCCCATGTCTCCCAGCCCGGCAACCGTCAGTCGCAAACCGGCAGTACCAAAACCGTAAACCCAACTTGAAACCCGAAGCCAGGCCGAAACAACAAGCTCGAAATACCCGAACCCCCAAACCCTAGCAGCTAAAACCTCACCAAACCGTAAACCGTAATGCCGACATGAAGGGAACCTATAGGAACCCATAAAACCGCATCTCCAAGCCGTGAACCATAATGCCGAGCTGGAACCCGAAGCCCCAAACGCTGAAGCCTCTTCATCCGCGGTGGGTGTTGACCTCACCCTTCAACTTCCAGGGCTCACTGACATGGGACCTTGTTGCCGGGTGATGGCCGAAACGCGACATCTGCCCTTCCACCTTTTTTCCAAAGGAAACCGCTTTGTACGCTGCCCAGGGATTTGTGGAGAAGCGGACCTGCTTCCAAGCATGCGGCTGTGCACTGCCCCACGCACAAGCGACTTCGCACATTTCGCACAGGCTTCCACGCGGATGGCACGCTGTCTCGCGTCGTGCCTTCGTGGGCGGTTTGCTCGCTTCGCAACGTTGTCTCGGGGCTAGGGCGTTCGCCAGGGTGAGTTTCAAGTAGAGGGGGCGACAATTCATGCGGAGGCTTCGAAGAAGCCAGGAGATATCGTCGCCTTAGGCATGGCTTCTGTATGGACGGTTACCCCTGCCACAAGCGAACCAACACGCAGCAACCATACTCAAGCCAGCCCACAGAAAAGACTTTTCAAATTTTCGGCCTGTTGAGATCCTGCGCCCGATTGTGTGTTGCGACCCCTTCATTGAGGTAAGCATCAGCAAGTCTTTCGGGCGGTTCATAGAAATTTGTGCATCATTTGCAGACAAGTCCCAGACATGCAGGAAATTGGTGCCTGTGACCCGCTGCTCTTCTGGGACCCTGTGGGTGTGCTTGCTGCAAAGAATCCAAACGGTTTCTTGTTGGTGTGATCTTGTGGCTGGACTGGCTTTTGAAGTGCTGAGGCTACTGCCAGGATGGCTGCACCAA